GTATTTTTTTCTTTTGGTATATTATCATAATTTTTAACACTAGTATGGTAATGTTTCTGTACAACATTTCACAGAAAACCTATTGCAACAGTGATTCTTTCACAGTGAACATAAAATAGTTATTAAAAATAGGAAGACATTAAAGAGTCTTACTTGAAAAATTAAAATACACGCACATAAAGGCAAAGACTGGAACTTCAGCCAAACTCAGTTTGGCCCTGGGTGAGATGTTTTGGACCAAAATGTACCTAAATCAGAACTAAACTTTTTAATGGAGGTAATTTAACTTTATTTTTTATAGCTACTGTTGATCCTAACTATGGTCATAATATTTCCACAGAGCTTACAGGTGAAAGGTGATCCCACAGGTTCTTGTTTTGATGCTGCAGCTGTTGGAGCATCTGTAGGCTGCACAAAGTCAGACATGTTGTGGAGGTGATCTGTAAACACAAAGCAGCAATTTGTTATTAACAAACCAACATGCTTAGAAATCACATTCAGCTTCAGTTAAGTTGAAAAGAAAGAGCTATCATGTAAAATACTGAGTAAACTCTGGAATACTAGCTAGGTCTTAATCACAGGCTCTTGTTATTAGTCTGCTAATGAATACAACTATGATGAAGATGTTATTTAGACAAGATTAGTTTGTTGTAAAATTGTTAATCATCTCAGGAAAACTTAGCTTAAATGAGAAGTGAAAATCTCGTCAGCCTTGATAATATCCACAAGTTGTCACACACAAATAAATCATTAAAAAACTGCATTCTCAACATGTCTAGTGGGGACCTGCACTGACGTCACTCATATCATTATCTGCCACTCTCTGATGATCAAACAGTGGATTCTACTGAGAGTCAGTGTTTATATTGTAACAGAAAAAAGTCGTTTTTAGAGCAAATTTCAACACATCTGACTTCAGGAATCACAGGAAAGTTCAGATAAAGGTTGTCTGGAGGGTCGACGTCTTCAGACTTGGAATGAGATTAAAGTGTATCTTACCCACCCTAAGATAACTCCGCCCCAAGGCRAAATTTGAAAAATGCATCAAAATGGGTAGGGGAGGGGGGGTTAGGGAGCGGAGGTGTAGCCAGGACGAGAGAACGTGACAGGCAGCTAGCATCAGCATAATTGATGCTACATGGAGAGTGACCACAGTATCGCAGATAGTTACATCTCTGAACGTCTGAGGTGGAGGGATTTTCACCCCACACCAGCCTCGGACAGAGGAGGAGGAGCGCTCCGACAGCCTGACATAAAAAAATAAAAGCATACAGCTGCA